CCCCAACTTTTGGCCTCCAAGGAAATTCTGACACCTCAGTTCTCTTGGCCTTTCTGTTTACAAATCCCTGTTTTAGTTTAGCTGAAACAAAGCTGTGATTCTAAGAAAGAAGAAAAAAGTGGGAAAGAAAACAAACAAGAAAAGAGGTGTTTTCAAATATAAACAGGTGGATTTAAACAGCCTGTTAATTAGGTAAGGAATTAAGTTACTCTACTGTAACTGAGGTCCAGAAAAAGACCTAGTCACCTGGCCCAGTAAATAGGCCCTTGTTCCTCTTGCTTCCAAATCAAGCTGCCCAGGCATCTTCAGATTGGCACTTCTTATGACCTTGTTAGAATCTCAGTCTATCATGACCTTTTTAGAAATTTAGGGCTAGAAGAGAACTTGAGAGTTATCTAAACCCTGTTACATTCTTGAGGTCCTTGATGGCAAGTCTGAGAGGGGCCCAGCATATGAGTTGTCACAGCATAGCTGTCATTTAGCATATTAAGTTACTTCTCAGCCCAGGATGAGACCAGACAGGCAAATATTTTCAAAGAATTGGGACATGTGCAGCAACTGAACTTGAAAGCATTATGAAGCTGTTAGGACAATAATCAGCTGAAGCTGATTAGTGGCTACCCTCTTTAGACATGTGGAACCCAACCAGTCAATAAATTTTGCAAACCCTGAATAAATACAAGCAATTCATTCCACAGATAAGAAAATGAAGTCCTGAAAAACTGTTCATCCTGTCCATATTTAATGGCAGAGTTAAAATCTGAAGGCAGGTGTTCTGAACTCCAGTTTAGTGATCTTCAGTGACTTCTGTTTATTCTTCCCTAGAGAAACTGAGATACAGGGATATTACCTGCTCATAGGCATTATGATGAGAAACGAAACTGAGAACTGGGTCTTCTGCCTTTGCATCCACTATCCTCCATTTTCTTTGCTGGGCCCAAAATTCTTAGGGGTTGCAATCCACCAGGAAGGCAAAACTAGGTAGGAACTCAAAGCCCCAACATTACTCTGGTTACTGACTACACCCACAGTCTAAAGTATGTGTGATGTCTGTGCAAAGTGCTGCACATTCCCAGCCCCCACAGAGGCTCTCATACCCAGCTTGGTTATGAACAGACATGCTGCCCTTTTCTTTTGTTAATGGCGTTTTCTCTACCCACATAGGCAGGGAGTGATAGCCTCCATGGGACACTGACGTAGGAGGAGAGGTTATAGAGAACAGTTACAGATGACATGAGGTCAGTAGGAGCTTTGAACTATCTTCCTGGCTCTCTTCCTAAAACATCAAATGGCCATGGCCATGGCCTTTAGTATGCTGCTTTTTAAAAAGCATAAGCTCTGTCCAGATTGACATAGTTTGACACAAAGGATGCCCTAGCCATCCTCTCCTCAAGTGTAGTGACATTGATTTGTAATAATCTTTGAACTCTTTAGCTTAAATGGACATGAATACACGGGATCATAGGTCTGTTATAACTCAGGTTAGGTCCACAAATATTTTACATAAAACTCTCCAAAGGGATATTTGGTTCTCTTTATATCTTACAGATGCCAATGACAAAACTATCGTCTATATAAGTAATTAGGATAGCAACTGTATGAGGGATGGAATAGTAACAAGGAAACTATTCACATGAGATCATTCTCTGCAAAGGTGATAGAAATACAAAATCAAGACTGTCTTATTTAAGGATAAGGAGAGGAGAAAGCAGGTAGCAACTGAATTGGACTGGAGATGGCAAGGCTGAATAGCTGAGCAGGTACGCAAGAGTCAAAGATCCTGACTAGTATAAAGAATCAAAAATAAATACACAGTCAAAGGGCAAGGGCTCAAACATGCATAACGTCAATAACAGTTGATGCCAAATAACTTTCAAATGCCTGCCTTTGCCTTGCCAAGGATCTTGGAACAGCCCTTCCATGTTTCCATGAGGGAGATTGCTGCTAGGAACCAGTAAGTATAGGGGCAAATTCTCTTTTGTGCTCCCCTCCGGGCACTAAACTTTAAAAATTCTCTAGAGTCTGTATCTGGCATAAATTAGGGTGTTATAGCCAAGTTCCCAAATTCACCAATCTCCAAGCCACACATTCTCCTGGAAGCACAAAAAATATCAGGCAGTTGGCTGTGGCCAAAGGGGGCTTGGGTATTTCCTCTCAAGTAAAAGAGATTTACTCTCAATGAGAGAGAGGAGACTCATCTGGCTGCACCATTTAGACCCCAATACTTTTCCTGCTTACTGAATATACAGTGACTGTATTCTCTCAGAACCCTCAACTCCCTCAGAAGCTGGGGCTATTCATCTTCTCAACTTTATGAAGAGGGACCCCAATAAATAGGCTTGGCTCTATATAACAGGAAAAATTAAAGCTCAGAGAGGGAAGCAACTAGTCTCATTCATTTGAGACACAAAGAAACCCTGCATTAGGGCTGGAAGCCCTTTCACAACTGGCATGAACTCATTAAGTGCCCAGCTCAGCACTAAATCAGACTTGAGTGGAAGGACCAAGAAAACCTGGGTAAGACTTTTTGTATTTATTTTTTCATTAATATGCAGGATTCTGTTACCCACATTCAGTGAGCCCAAGTTTTGGTTCCAGATGTTTCTTTCAGAAATGGGTCTCTAACAAAGGAAAGATCCAAGTCGTCCTAACATAGCATTGGTCACTCAATCCAAAACCATGCAGGGTTTTAAAGTACCAGGTTCTCATGGAGAAAGTATAACAGTGGTAAGGAAATGTCAGCCTTCCCAAGATGGCAGTGTGTATAGAGGGAACAACCAAAATGTATATAACGATTTGCAAAAAAAAGGCTCTGAAAAGCTTTTCAGAAAGATGTGATCAGCAGTATTCATCAGCCCTTCATACCTGCAGGTTTAACATTTTGGTTAGTTCTTCATCTTCCTTCCTACTTGAAGCTACTGGCTTCTTAGCTATTAAGGCCACAGTCTAAATAGAGCTATCACTAAGTCTCCCTTCTCCCCTGCCATGTTTTTGCCTTTTAAGTCTTTCTCTCAGAGTTTCATTTCCTGTATGGTGGAGTAAGTGCCTAACTGAACCAATCATACAAGGGACAACAACTATAAACTCTTGAAAAAAATACAAAAAACTACCCGAAGGTACTGGAGACTGAACAAAAAAGCTTGCAAATTCTGGCAGGAGGTTGAAACTTAGAAGAAGGGAATAGCATAAAGTGAGTTTCCCATATTTATGGCTTTTGGGCTGATAGAAAACTGCAATCTTTCTGGTTGAAGAATCAGAGAAAACCACAGAATCAGAGCAACTATAGCTGCTGGAAAGTGAGAGAGGAAATCTCAAAAGAAAGAAAGCCAAAGAAGGAGAACCCTAAATTCTGTGCATAAACTCTACCCAAATCTCTGGCTGACCCCTGAACTATGTGTGGGATAGACTCCAGCTAAAGATAAATGAAGTGAATTGAGATTTGAGCTGTTGTCCCAGACCAGCTTACCATTTGTGTCCAATAAAGTTAAATGCCTGCTAACACAAACAAAAAAATCAGCACTCTTCAGAGGACTATCACAGAATCCACAATATAAACATATACAATGTTCAGGACACAATCTAAAATTGCTCAACATATGAAGGATCAAAAAAAATCTGACCCGTTCTGTAGAGAAAAGAGACCAGTTCTGAGATTATTCACATGTTGAATTTGCCAGAAAAGGATTTTAAAGCAGTTATTATAACTATGTTCAATGAAGTAATGGTGCCATGCTTGCAGTAAATAAAAAGAAGAAATTTCAGCATAGAAAATAAAGAATTAAATGAAAACTCTAGAAATGAAAAATGAAATATTCAAAATTGAGTCTTCATCTCCATTTGAGAAATACTACTTGTTTCCTTTGTATTTCTGTCCTTTGGTTTTTCACCTCTGGAACTGGGTCAATGTAAAATAAAAAGAGACTGATTTACCTTCGGCTCTCCTACAAGGGTACAAATCAGACTCACGGTTACTGATGTTTTGATGACAAGTGAGACTGGAGCTGGAAGATAACTCTTATTCAAAATTATCTCTGCTCACAGAGATTTTGTTTCAAATAACTTTCATTTGTACCAAACTTAAATGAAAAATCGCTTACTGACACTGTAAGTAGTTAACTTTTGGTCTTTGGGAGGCTTGACTTGAGAGGTGAGAATTTAGGAAGGTTTGGTGGGAAGATTTTACATAGAGGCATTTTCATTTAGTGAGGATGTGAAGGCCAGAGCTAACTGAGCTTTTCTGTCTGGGATCCCTGATATTTAACACCAGGCCTGATACTGGTTCCTACATAGATCAAATTTTTGTTTTAGAAAGTTGAACTCCTGCCAGAAATCTGTAGGAGGCAGGCTACATACAAATAGGAAGTGTTGTCATGACAAGAAAAGTGATATTAAGAGAGAGAGCATCAAAGTCTTATCTTCTGAAGTGACTCTCACAGCGAATTACTAAAAGGAAGTTTTTGGAAGAGACAATCCCATGCCCATTTTAGGTCTCACATTGGTTCCTCTCTTCTTTGGTCACCAGATTCTACTGACTCTCACAGCGAATTACTAAAAGGAAGTTTTTGGAAGAGATAATCCCATGCCCATTTTAGGTCTCACATTGGTTCCTCTCTTCTTTGGTCACCAGATTCTACTACTGTGAGACATATACCATAGAAACAGAGTCAGTTACCCAACCCCAAAGATTCCTGGTACTCTCAAAAGCAGGAAATGATAGAAAAGGGTACAAACTGGTTCCTGGATAAAACAACAAGACCCAACTCACAAAAAGTGGTATTAGCCACAATAAGAAAGATTACCAAATAAGCATGATCATTTCATTCAATTAAAACAATGTTCAAAATAAAAGAAGGAAAGCTCCCAAAGAGTGTTCTTAGCAACTTTGTAATGTTGTAACCAACTAAAATCAGCCCTTCATACCTGCAGGTTTACTGGACCATTGTCTCTTTAAGAAGTGATTAGTTACTCTATCAGAAATAGGAAAAAAAAAGTAAAGATGGAAAACTATAAAACTCCTCTTTTTATCACAGTTCTTCCACTGTAAAGCTGATCACCACATCATCCAATGATACAAAAATTTTAGAAACTTTACAAAATTCCTCTTTTTAAAATTTATTTTTTGTTATCAAAGAGAATGTCCAGAAACATTGAGTACTAAAGGATTTGTTCATGACATTGTTTTACAAAAGTTCCTAATGGAGAGTGAATATTTTATTTTCTGATGTATCCTTCACTTATTAATGATGAGGTGAATGAACTGATGCAATTACTTTAAAAAAAAAAATCCAGACAACCTTATAAAGGAAAAAAAACCCATTCTCATTCTGTTGAGTGGAGTGAATTCAGTGGTCACACCACCACCACTGGTCAAGAATCAACTTTCCCACAGCAGGGAGCTGTTCAGGTCTTCTCAATAGGTCAGATAAGTCTCTCAGATATAGGCACCATGTTTGAAGTCTCACACAAGATTTCTGTGTCACTTAAATTACACAATGTGGCAGTGTTTGTTTCATGGGGACATAATATTGAAAGAAGGGGCAAAGTAGAAAACAAGCTGTTTGCACGTTATATGTGAGTACATTATAGTACTGTGCATGGGTTTGAGGGCATTGTAGCCCTTGTTAAAGAGAAATTCCACCAAGGAAGCATCTACTGGTTCCCATCTCTCTCTCAAGTCCTCTTGGTAATGAGGGTGTTTACTCATTTAACCATATGTTGTTAGGTCAGGGCCTTCTTCATCTACCATTTGGCTCAAATGGTTAGAACTGAACTTGGTTGTCCATCTCTTCCATCTGAGCTTTATTTCTCAGCCTCAGGATACGTGGGATACTTGACCGTTTCTATCTTCTCTCGTACTTTATAGGAGGGATATAGGCCCGTCCTTCCCAGTTTTCTGTTGACACCTTTAGAATAGCCATCCCAATGATTCCCAGCCACACCAATGATATCTCCAGGTTCCATGGGGATTTCATCTGCAGTTCGAGGTTGGTGAGGATAAATGGCGATCTGGTTGTGGGCATTTTGGCCCCCAAAATAGTAGATGTCATCTAAAGAATGGAAGTTTGCAGAGGCATCAGGATGCAATGTTTGCATGATTTCATAAGCAACTCGACAGACCTTGGAAAAGAATGAAAAAAATTGTTAGTATATAAAAGTTGTCTTTCATAGCAGTCTGGAAGCTCTCAACCAAAGAGAGGGGCTCCAGGACTGAGAGGCTGAGAAGCAGTGGATTCTAGTCTAAGCTTTCAGTCCATTTGTTCTCTTCATTTCTGTGCTTGGATCCTTTTTTAAGACACAAACAAAACAAAACAAAACAAATAACAAAAGATGATTACAATTAAGGTTTCTAGGGGGAAAATATATACATATATGTTGTGCAAAGTACTTTAAAAATATGAAGCAGTCAATTTTAATAAACATTTATTTAAGAGCCACACAGTGATCCAGTCCAAGTGCTGGTGATACAAAAATAAGTAAGGCATAGTTCATGCTCTTGAAGAATTTAAAGTCTAGGATTAGAATTGCAAATATTTAACACAAATGCTGCTGCTCTCTTTCCTCCATTCACTGTTAATCAATCACATACTCTTTTCTGCTAACTTAGAACTTGGTCTCAGAACTCTTCTTAACAGAGAGTCATGTAATTACTGACTATCAACTAGCACTGGCAAGGATGCTAAAACATATCCGCCATTTCTGTTCCAAAGAGTTTTAAAGTGTGCTGTGTAGACAGTAGCATGCTTGGACGGACAAAAGCTTGGCTAGCCTTGGGAGAAGGTGCATCTACTTGACTAGTGTAGATTTTCTTTGTTTTTGTTTTTTTGGTGGCCGGCCAGTACAGGTATCTGAACCCTTGACTGTGGTATTAAAACACCGCATTCTACCCAACTGAACTAACTGGCCAGCCCTAACTAGTGTCGTTTTAAGGCTACTAAAAGATCACTCTGTCCAAAGAATATCTTCCCTGCCCACCAAATGATAGGTGAAATTCCACAATGGGATAACATTTTAAGCAATTAATAGATTCATTATAGAGTAAATGGACGTCAGAACCTTTTGTAAGAATAGGTAAAAACGGAAGAGAGAATACTACCATTTTACTTAGAAAATTCTTCCTTTATATATTGTGAATACAGAACTCAAATCGGATCAAATTTTTCTAAATCTCCAGTTATGGTCATCTCAGTTAATAAAGATTCATTGCCCCTACACCAATACTTTTCCATTTATTTAAAATGACACTTCAATAGTAATTGTTAATCTGCTTGGTTGAGCAATTTAGGATTATCTGGCAGTCTTTTAAAACCTTGGCATTCATGAAGATCAAAAACTGAATGGAGATGCTCATTCTTAACTGTTATGATTAAATGAAATCTGATTAGGTTATTCATTTCTTCAACTTCTTAGAAAATCAGAATTTCAGGAACATGAGGGGCAATTCTCAAATATTATATGTAATTTGCAAATGAAAATAAATTTATGCAGTGTTGGGAAAATATATGAAAATGGCCAGGGCCCCTCATATGTTCAGAATCTTGCCAAGCATTTGATATAAATATGTACGTGTGCCCAGGTGTTCCTTGGTTATTGTCTGATATAGCTGCGCATGTGCACCCAGGTGTCCTGGGTTATGACTTAAGTATAAAGGATGAGTGGCTCTGAGCCACAGTGCCCCCCACCCCCGGGATGCCTCCGGGGGCAGGGGGGGCCGTGGGGAGGCTGCTACTGCTGCTGGAGGCTGATGCTGCAAGCTGTTGCTGCCAGGGCCCCCGGGAACCTCCGCAAGGCTACTGCTACCACCGGACCTGTGAGCTGCTGGACCTGTAAGCTGCTGCTGCCATTGCTGAGGACTGAGCTCATGTCTTCCACCAATGGTTCCCGGGATCTTTCCCAATTACCTAGTGTGGACCTGCGCATGAGGGGTCTGGTGACCCAGTCTGTAATATAGATTTGAAAGGTCTGAGCCCTAGCCCTGACAATACAAATGGAAACTTAGTAACCTTAGAATAACTAAAATGAAATGTTTTGGTTTTAGTTATGAATTGCCCTCGCAGTACAATTAGCGTAGCTATTGCCTCAACCAGACAAGTGGTGTAGTGTAGCTTTACAGACAGTATTTTTAATTTTCTAGAGATGAAGGACATTAAGTGATTTGCTAAGTCTAGTGTTAGAATTTCAACTAGACATAGAACCAAGACAATTAAAACTTTACTTTCAAGTTTGTTTCTTCCCCAACAAACTAAGTCTATACTGGGAATGTCATGATACAATCGAGATCACTGTAAGAAAACTGAGACTGTAATTAAATGGGGATCAAAAAGCTTTGAAACTTTTGAACTTCAAATTCAGCCAAAGTCCCACACAGGGCAAGCAAAATTATGTGGGGACTCTGGATAGGAAGAAACTAAATAATTAAAACAAAGCAACTCCAATAACAGCACATTACAATAACAACAATAGAGGCTACTATTTACTGAGCTTTTGCTAACTGTCAGACATTCCTTTTAGGTATTATCTAATGTAATCTTCTTAGTATCTTCATAAGATTCTATCATTATGCTTATTTTACAAATGTCAAAGGCAAGTTAAGGCATTTGCCCAAGGTTATAATATTAATAAGTGGTAGGTTCAACTTTAAACCAGACAGTATGCATATGTGTAAGGAGAATGAGAAATGGTCAGGTTCCCTCAGCTGTTCAGAATCTTGCTGAGCATGACCTAGCCTGTTTGATATAAATATGTTAACTTTGCACATGTGCCCAGGAGTTCCTTGGCTATTGTCTGATGTAATTGCACATGTGGACCCAGGTGTTCCTTGGTTATCTGACTTGCACCCAGGTGTCCCTGGGTTATCTGACTTAAGTATAAAGAACAAATGGCTCTGATCCACAGGGCCCCAGGGATGCCCCAGGGAGGCCTCCAGGGGGCCACTGCTGCTGCTGAGGCTGAGGTCTAAGCTCATGTCTGAATAAAACATGTCAACCTTGCGAATGGTTCCCAGGATCTTTTACCTAGCTTGTGACCTGCATATGAGGGGTCTGTGACCCAGTCTGCACAACAGGTTTGAAGGGTCTGTGACCCAGCCTGACAATATGCTTGTAACTGCTGTACATATTTTCTCTTGTAAATCCTGTTCTCCATGTTCATATTGTAATACCAGAAACATATAACATAAGGTCAAGGCCAGCCTTGGGAAAACAAGAGAGTTTTCTTTTGAGGGTCCCTCTACACACTCTTCAGTTATCCCTAGCCAGGAATGCAGGGCCTTGTATTACTCTTAGGATGACCACAATCTCTACTGGGGCAATGAACCCTGATGTGTTTCCTTCTCTCTACTCTTAAATGTCTTACTCTCATAAAAACAATGTTGCCCTCTGTCCTACACCCTTTGGGACCTGCTTTCTTTTGGAGATAATCCTAACAAGTAGTTTATGTTTTGTTATCAATAATTATTAATGTGTTAGCCTTGGTGGATAATACATGTATTTTCTTAAACCAAAGAAATAACTAATGGTAGAAATTTCAGACACTGAGGTGGGCTAATGTAAGAGATTTCTGGACTAAAATGAATTGCAGGTCCCTCCAATTACAGCAGTGCCAGACAGGTGTGGCCCTTTATCTTCCTCATAATAATGGCCATAATGATAGCAGCTAAGCTTAATAAGCACTGATTATGTTCCAGGCACTCTTCCAGCAGCGTGCTTCCACCACCCCCAACTGACTTAACTCACAACAAATCTGTCAGGTGGGTACTACTATTATTCATATTTTACAGATGAAGAAACAGAAAAGATTAAATACATTTCCAAAAAACAAAACAATAAAAAGGGAGCTAGAAAATGGCAGAGCCACAGAACTCTTTCTGGCTCTTGAGTATGTGCTCTCAACCACACATAAAACTGCCTTAGGATAAGCACCTAGAACAGTGCCTGCCACATAGTAGGCACTCAGTATCTGTTGAATGAAGATGCAAGTCCATGGGTGGTATTTAATTTGAATGAATAACATTCTGAGTAATTAAAAAACTGTCTACATCAACCATGGGACATTTCATTGCAAAGGGCTAGAAAGATTACTATCTTGTTGATGTTTGCATTTAATCACCCTAGGCTTCCCTCTCTGGGCTTTACAAATTCAAATTACATGACAATTCCATACAGGCTTGCAGCTGATGTCAATACTCAGGTTTGATTCTTGATAGGTAGCCTGACTGAGAGGGATAGTATATGGTTTGCAAAGCTGCAGCTGGCTACACGTAGTATGTTTTATTTCATTCTGTGTTGACATGGCACCATATTATTTTTAGTACACCACTAAGCACACAGTAATGGATAACAGCAAAAATCCCACCAAAAGGGCCGGCTCGGTGGCGCACTGCTACAGTGCGCCGCTTGGGAGTGTGGAGGCGCTCCCGCCGAGGGTTCGGATCCCACATACAGACCGGTTCCCGCTCACTGGCTGAGCGAGGTGCGGGCGCGACACCGAGGGTTGCGATCCCGTTGCCGGTCCCGGTCCGGTACGGGCGCGACACTGAGGGTTGCGATCCATTGCCGGACATGAAAAAAGACAAAAAGGAAAAAAAAAAAAATCCCACCAAAGGATAAAACACAGATATAACTTATTTCCAAAAAGCAATTTCAAAAGGGGGAGGTGTCCCTTAGTCAGAATTTCATCCCTTAGGAACATCCAGCTGAGTTTGAGACTCCTTAGCTTTCTCAAAGGAGATGGGATCTTGTTTTTGTCAAAACAGATAGGGCCAGGAGGCTCTCCTACTATAAGTTGGAGATGGGTTCTTGTCTCATTGGGTGATGCTGGGAGATCTGTGCACCTTCCCTGTAAACTCCTTTGTTGAAAGAATAAGACAAAGGTCTTTGCTATATCGTGAGGAATGCCAGAAGGTCTAATGCAATAACAGCTGCACAGTGGAGCATTCAGCACTGCAAGCTAGAGCTCATGCTGATAGAAGTACTCTTCTTGCCTTCTACTCTGGGAAGTAGTCACATCACATCTTGGGCTTTCACCCTGTGCTTTCTCCATGGTACTCTCAATAGGTATCCAGTCTTCTTTACTGAACCATACGTCCACAGAAATTCCTATCCAGAGCCTGGACCTGGAAT